AAATTCCATCATGTTCTTTCACATCAGCATCCCCTGAGTCACCAGCACTTGTCAGAACTTGTAAATTTTGCACAAAAACCTCTCTGATTTGAATTGCCAACAGAATTATTTCCTCATTTACCACGACCTGTCCTGTTTGCTCTTCATCTCTCAGCTCCTCACACCAGACCTATCCTGGGCATCCCAAGCTTGAATCCCCATGGTCCTCACACCAAGGCCAGAACAGGCTGAAAAATGCAATGTGTGACTGTGCAGAGCCCAGCTGGGCAGTGTCACACATGGGGAAAGCTTCAGCAACCCAGCTGTGCTGTCCCACAAGGACAGAGGAGAGAATTCAGACCCTCCCCAGCATCCATCTTCCCCCACTGCACAGAATGGGGATGGGGAGGCAAGGCAGGGTGTGTGGTGCAAAACGAGATATCCCGGGGCACACCACCAGATTACATCTCTTACCATAAATTATGAAGTGATTTAGGCATAAATGAGGGCTGTCATGAAATTTAATTTGAATGGTTTGATAATCAAGTCAGAAACACAATAATTACCATACCTAGGGTTTTTCAATAAATTCAGATCACTGCTAGTGGCAACACTTTTTTATTCACAGACATTAACACAATTCCCTCCAAGAGCTGTCTGCTATATTTTTTCCATGTCAGAACAACCTGTTGATTACCTCTTTGCTGGGATAAACAAGCTCAGATTTCCCACTGATTACATTCAAAACACTTGCACTTTGCTCACTGCAAAGCTCCTTTAACAGTGCAGCTGACCGCTGCAAGAAACAGCTTTTATTCTTCCTCAAGAAACTGGAGACTCAGCTAGTCCAGAAAAATCTCTGGAGGCTGAGCTTTGCAATAGCAGACATGAGAGAATTTGCTTCCCTCATCATCATCACATGTCATATGTTCAACTGGAGAGGTGAACAAAACCAGGTGATACCATGGGGTGATATCTGAAATTAGCTGAAGACTTTGCCAACACCTCAACACCACTGACTGCAGCCAGAACTTCCACAGAATAATTTGGCAGACATCTTTTCATCAGGACACCAGATCTCTAGTGCATTTCCCTGTGGATACTGTAGTTTTAAAAAATTCCTGCAGGTGTAAAGCAGCAAAAATTAATTTGAGTTGGAATTTAGCTTTGCAATGAAGCCTAAAATTATTTTCAGGAGTTCAACAAACAACCATCCAAAACTCTTGCTTCTCTGTTTTCTTCAACCAACCTCACAGGAGAGGGAAGAAAAATCTCCTGTCTTTTCCTTCTCTACTCCAAAGAAATCTTGGTTTTCTTCTCTCTCCATCATAATCTTGTGGGGAAAAAAGACCTCAGACTAAAACATGTCACTAATTGTCCCACAATGGGATAGGAAGGAACATTTCAAGTCATGTGGAAAGCAGAGATGGGAATATGAAGGCTCTAATTAACATCTTGGGATATAGGGGGAAAAAAAGGCTGATCCTTTCATTTGTTTGTCTGCAAAACAAGCAATGATGAAAGACAGAAAGATGAGTGAACAAAATAATCACTGAGCCCAAATTATCATTTCTGACTATAAAATGACAGGGAGCAAAATGTTTCTCTGTGCTAAAATAGAGGGAGAAGAGTGTCACTTCTCAGAAACACTGCTTATATATATCTCCAATAACAGTTAAAATGCACACAATAAAAAATCCCAATTATTGGCTTAAAAAGTACAGCAAATTGTAAGTTTAAGCTTTTCTGAAAGCTAAAATGATAATTTTCACTAGTCAGCAGAATAATCTTACTGTAGAAAAAGGCATCTATTTTCCAGATAGTTTTTTAATGGCCTAAAGGATATCTCTTTTCCTAACTAGTATAATACCAGTTTTTCCTGACATATGCAATGTTATTGTAGCAGCTATTATTGCCCTGTCTCTAAGTAAATTGAAGCAAACTGCCTTTCAGACCTTAAAATAAAAATATTGTGCAGCATTCTACACACTTGATTCATTTTACATTAATACAAATATGACAGAGAACAGGACAGGGTTGGAATGCACCAAATAATGTGGACACCACAAAATGGATCCCAGGGACTGCCCTTGATGGGCTCAGAAAGGTTTGGAAGTGCCAGCACTGATCTGCTGGCAATCCCAGACTTTCTTTGGCATTTCTCTTTTGATCTCCTCACCCTTCCCATTGCCAGCACCATGGTCAATTGTACAGCTTCATTATAAATCACATTATGTTACAGAGAGTGTTCTAATAAGTGTAGCATCCATCAGGATTCCTCATTTTCCGTGGGAGCAATGAAAGAACCCCCTACAAATTCCCTCTCAGGAGGGAAAAATATTCTACAGTGACAACTCTGTAATGTAGAGAAGAGAAGCAACATATCAAAATTCCCAAATTATTTTACTTTCCAAGCATCCAAAGTGGGAAGCAAAAGAGGCCAGAGTAAGCAGGATGCAGCATTATCCTTCTTTGTGGGTCTGGAGGCAGAGAATATGAAAACACTCAGAGTCCCCAGCAATAACAAAAGGGACAAAGAAAACAATTTCCTGCTACCTCCGCTCTGTCAGGATGGGAGATTTCAAAGTGAGGGTGATGAATGGAGGCAGAGTAAATTACAAAAGGAAGAGAAAGTGACCAAAGCTGGCAAAAACTCACTATTTAAATAAAGGTAGAATGAGGGCAGCATCAGAAAAGGTACAGGGGAAATGAAGGAAATAATGAACTTGATTGAAAAGCCTCTCTTGAAATATTAATCAGGTATTAATAACAATCAATATCCAAAGGAAAAAAATCCTAAAAGGAGACTCCAAAAGAAGAGGGATGTGTTGAAAATCTTTGTATACTTGGGTTGAAAACCTTGGTTCAAAAGTAGATTCCAGGGAATGCCTGCCCTGTATTAAAATGCAAAGACCTGGAGCCATTGCTTAAAAAGGGAAAAGATTTCTCCTTCTTTTATTTATTTTTTCTTTTTCCCCTTCAAAGAGCAACAAAAGCCTTTTTCTAAGAGCAGGAAGCTAATTGTAAAGCCCAGTATATGTTTCACATGCTTTTCTGTAGTAGATCTATTGGAATAAAAATTAAAGCTCATGGCAACATAGAAGCATATACACAGTTTTACAATGAAAAGCACTTACCTTCAAGAAATAGATAATAAATGAGTTTAGAAACAATGAAAAACTGTGCAATTTCTAACCAACAAGAAAAACAAATTTTGCAATAAGAAGAAAAATAGCTGTAAATGCTTAAATACCTGCAACACATATACAATCTCCTTTAATAAATGACTGTTTCAAAAGACTTGGTGAAAGGGTTTATACCCATCACAATGTAATGATTTAAGGATATTTAAATTTAAATCCATAGGAAAATAAAATTCAATCAAAGAAATTTTATAACCTGATTTGTACTTTAATTTCTATCTGTTATATATTGTCCCAAAAACTGGGAATGAAAAATTTTCCAGGGATTTTAAAACTACAAAAACAATGCAAAAAACCAAGAGGCATAAAAATAAAATTATAGAACAATATAGATAGGAAGAAGAATATTTTGGTGACTGTTTGTATCACTCACATTCTCTGATAAAATCCCTTGCCCAGGATTTCACTCCTGGGAAGCTGAGAAGCCTCAGAGAAAAGGAAAACAATTCTTATCTAATTTGCTTCTCTTGTGTTTTGCTCATGTGGAATGTGTTCGGAGAGTGTTTATTAACAATAAATTTGTTTCATTGGTTTCTGGTGTGAGTTTTTTTGACTCTTTGGCAAATCAGAGCCAGGCTGGGTCAGGACTCTGGAAAGAGTCCTGAGTTTTCATTATTATCTTTTTAGCATTGAGTATCTTCTCTTATTCTTTAGTATAGTATAGTATATTTTAGTATTCTTTAATATAATATAGTATCATAAAGTAATAAATTAGCCTTCTGAGAACATGGAGTCAGATTCATCATTCCTGCCCTTGTCAGGACATTCCCAGCAAATACAATAACTGTTTAGACTGCTTTTTAAAAAAGAAAAAAGGCAATTCTTTCCAAATAAAAGGAAGAAGCACTGTATGTTACTGATGGTTTTGTCCATTGCTTGGTAAAGTAAAATTCAACCCTGAGTTTGAGTCAACACATTTCCACTTGGTTGTGCTTTGGGAGTCACCAAGGCAAAAAGAATTCCAAATGTGCTGCTATTTTACCTATTCTGTAATTCTTTTTGACAGCTGCATTCCTTGCAATTAACATGGTTTGACTTTGAACTTAATATTCAGCCAGGGATTTGCAGACATCAAAATATCTCTCTTTAACCAAGTTTTTTAACTCTCCCAGAGAGGAAGCAGTGCAGGGAGCCCAAAAGCAAGATTCCCTTTTCACATTATCACCTTTCCAGGATGAAATTGGAATTCAGATGCAATGATCACTTGAAGGAGATTAACCAGGCAGCCCTGGGCTACAGCCAGCAGCAGGGACCCGAGGCAGGTGTGTACTGGCAAATAATGGTTAATAATGAGCTGTACGCCACTCTAGTAGGGTTGCAAGAATCAATACCCACAACAGCCTGCTTGATCTGAAATATATTTTCCCACAGAGATTGGAATTGCTTTTTCTTCAATTCTATTTTTCTTTCCTGGAGTTTTCTTTGTAGGAAAAGTGAGGAAATGGCTGGGGAACCACATAAAGAAAATTTAAAACTGGGAAAGGATAACAAACTACTGAGTTCAGGTTTTAACACCAGGATTACATTCACAGCACATGGAAATTACATTCAAACACTCTACAAAAGTTAAATGAGCTGTACACCTCAGTACCAACTGCTTTGTATTTCATTATTTCCAGGATCACTACATGCAGAGCCCAAATAAATTTACATGAGATATTGCTAAAACTTAGTGATGCACCCCCAAGAAATAAAACTTTCCTGTTCTTTGACATGTGTACAATGCTTAAAAAGAACAACAGGTGCCTAAATGCCATCAGTTGTGTACAGAAAGGCACCAGGGCTAACCCTGGGCCCTTTGGCAGAGGCAGCACTCACCGCTGGCACTCCCCGGCGTGCAGAATTAAATCCTCGTTGTTCCTGGCACTGATGGTCAGCTCATGCTCTGTGGAATTGAAGACATCAAGAAGGAGGTGGCACTGCCTGGTGCTGTTCAGATGGAGGGAAAAAAACACCATTTCAGTGATATTATTGTAGGCTTATCAAAATGAGTATTCATACACGGATATAAATATATATACAAAGAATACATTCATTCACATAGAGGTTTTATCTCCTCCTCCAATTGTAAGAATATCCTTACAAAAACAACCTTTTTAAAAATAGATTTTTCTTTTTTTGCTAACTAAGCAGAGGGGTGCATCCTAAAGAGAAGTAGTCCCATGACAATTCTGTCCTGCACAATATCAAACCCTTTATTCACCTCTCTACATTCTCACTTTGCAGCTTTCACATTCAGTTCTGTGGAGAAAGCCACAGACATTTTTCAGTTCTTTAAGCCTTCACATAAAAAGAAAAAACAAAAAAGAGTTGTATTATTTTAAATTACCTTGACATTACCTCTTTAAGACACAAATGTGCAAACAAAAATTTAAATTGGTTTAAGTTCATTATAAAGGAGAAATTCCATTTCCATGGCTTGTCTACAGAGCAAAACAAGCTGGCAAAGTTAAGCTCACTTAACTTTGAGAGGAACTTCTCTGAGAAGGAGAACTCTCTCACCTCTATAAGACTGGAAAACACAGGCACTTCTCACAGACAAAACTTAACATCTGTTGGCTACTATCCTTCAAATTCAAATTTCCCCAGATGCATTTGATAGAAATACGCCAACTGCATTTCTGGCAACCTCAGAAAATAATAGTGACAAAGTTGGAGAATTGAAACCTTACTGCAAAGTTAATTCCAACACCTTTTCATTATAATTAGTATTTTTATAATAGTCACCATTCTTATTAATTATGTTAATACTAAGAAAAATAACATTTTATTATTTAAGACAATTAAGGGTTAATATTTTAAATTATTTTATTCAAAGTAAGATTCTGGAATTTTTTTTTTCTAATTTACAACCTTTTCTTCCTTGTGAGAATAAGCAGAAATAGCAGCATTGATGATAAAAATATAATACACATGAAAATTTATTGGAACCAGGTACCAAAATGCCAAATCCTATCAGCTGCAATAACACTTTACCAATCTATCTAAAATTCCAGACTTCCCAAGAGGCTATTGAACAACCCCAAAATATCCCCAAAAGGGAAGAAAGGAATATTGGTGAGAGTTGTCGAGTCATCCTTCAATGTGCATGATCAAGCTACAGCTGTGTGTCTAGGGCAACCAAGAATATTTGTATTTATATTTATATCATTTATTTTTATTTACTGCACAATAGTTTACAACGGAACTGAAATGCTATTCCAAAGGCAATTAAACTCAGAGGTACAAGAGTTTAAGAACTGTTCTACTCCGAAATAGGTTCTCTGGTCCATAATACAACTCTGTTCTCAAAATCAAAGTCCCTTGCAGAGCACACAGAGGAGGAAATGTTTTGCCAACCCTTGGGTTGGGAACACTCCCAGGACAAGCCCAGGAGGTCGAGGTTGGGGTCACCAAGCGACAATAATGTCACCTGCAGCCAGACACTGCAGGACAAGCAAGCACTGCTGGGGTCAGGATCAAGTCTCAGCACAAATGAAAAAAAGCAAAAGTGGAGGCTTTTTTAATTTGTATTTTAAGAGATTTCTCTCTCTTTGTAAAACCCCAATGACTGCTGAGTATAGAGGGGGATGCAGGGAGGCAGCTGAGTGCCTGAAGCAAACTTGCCAAAACTCAAGAATTTAGAAGAGATAAGGAGATGTGGCTCCTGTTAGAAACTTCCTTCCTCAGAACTCACAAGAAAGAAATAACTGGAAGGGCAGTGCTTGAGTCAGTTACCAGGAAGGAATGGAAAAGAAAAGGGGGAACAGCTTTTATCAGCTTCTGCCTCATCTTTGGCAGAGTGGGACAGGACCTGTGAAGTCTCAGACACCTCTGCCTCTACAGCAGATACAAGGTGATGGTCTGGAAGAACAACTTCCAGTGCAGATTAGTTTTAAAAACTTCATGTGGAAGGAATTTGTTATTTCTGCCACAGTAAACCCAAACAAAAAACATTCAAGCCTCCTGAAGTATCTTCTGGCAGCAGAGCTAAAGTTTTGCAAATAAAACAATTCATGCCACAAAGGACCTACACAAGCAGCTGCCCCTCAGGACTAAACAACATTGATTTTAAAAAATCCCAAATATGAATTCTTGAAAATTATTCATCACCACAACACTTATTTCCTCCTCTTCCAACACTACACAAAATAAACATATAGGAAAAATAATTTTTTTTTTGCAATTTTAAGTTAAATCACAAGGAAATCTTTAGGTAAAAATATATATAAACATAAAATTTGAAGTTACAGAATTATTACAGTACCTTAAACTTAGAAGAATAAGATATTAATGTGAAAGAATTGAAAGTAACATTAAGACTGTAGGAAAAGGTAGCACAAGCTCTTCAGAATAACTACAAGACAGTATCAAATAGACTATTACAGCAATGAAAAGCAAACACAATTAAAGGTTTTGTTTTTGTTTTTTTTTTAATTAAAACAGGAAGTTTCAAATAGAAGCTCCATCCAAGAAATGAAACCAAGAAAGCATCAGCTCTGGAAAATCAGATGTAATACCAAAAAAAAGTTTAAAAAAAAAGGATAAGAATGAACTCTGAAGTTGTTAAAGAACAATTTGCTGAAGATCTGAAAACTAGCAGGAAGGTTTTTTTCTTTTTTTTTTTTCTTTAACATTCTGCAATTAGTAGGACTGTGTAGAACTCATGATGCTGAGTTAGGAAAGTTCCAGGAAAACAAAGAAGTAATAAGAAAGCCAAAAATAAATATCAATTTTCCCTCCAGCAGAACATACAGAAGGCCATCCTGTGCAAGACAGGAATTAAAGAACTTATTTCACTGTTAGTAAAGGAGATTTGAGAGGCAAATCATATCCATGCAAGTTTGATAAAGGAACTCCAGTAAGATTTTGCTGAACTCCTATATTTAAGTGCAGTCAGAAATGTGTTGCTTAAACCAAGCTCGTTACCAGAAAATTCCAAACATCAAATTGTTTTAAGGATTTGAAGGCAATTGACCAAATCTTAGATCACTTGTGCTGACCGCAACACTACGTAAATCAGGTTTTTTTTAAAATCTGCCAGCTTACAAAAAAACCCTTAAACCACTCAAAATAATAAATGGATCTAAAGTTGATGACATTGTATACCATAATTGCCCATAAATGCCCTAATGACATGTTTGGCAGACAAACCCCAGTCATAAGCCACAGATGTCTGGAACTAGGCAAGACTTGCCCATATATACACACAATTTCTTCTCCCTTTCCCAAAAGATCCACCACCATGTCAGAGTTTACACTAAATATTTTATTGGTTGAGGAGGGAGGATTTTGAGTCCTCTAAGTTTAGTTAGGTAGGTGTTAGCTACCATTCATCTCAGAGAAGGCAGAGAACACCATCCCCCACATTTCCCACATTCTGCAGGGTCACCAGTGGCTTCCCAGTCTTTTTCAGGGGTCATTATTTGTCACCAGCTCCTTCTGAAGGTTTGGGATGAACAGATGCAGAATAAATCAGTCTTTGTTTGGGTGGGGTGGGTTGGTGGTTTAGGATGGTGTCAGACACACAACATGAAACCATCACCAGCACTGCTGGACCAGGAACAGACACCAGGATACAGAACAAAAGTTCATGAGAGGGTTTGACTCTTCTTTCCATCTAATGGGAAGGAAGTCTGGTCCAAAAGAATCAGCCTACCAAAAAAGTCACAGCACTCAAACATTTTTTCCATTTTGATGATCTTCCTGATTTGTTCATGATGCTTGCTTTTGAAAAATTTTCCATAAATATCATGTTCAAGATTTCCTTTCACAAGTGACACAAAACTGCAGAAGGTTCTAGAGGTAAAACACTAGAATTAGAAGGAAATACTTTCATCAGATAGATTTATCATCTGAACATCGCAGAATTACAAATTTAAGTCAATGCTGATATCAAAAACCAATTAAGAAATCTTTTTTTTAATTGAAAATTGAGTTAGTTCAACAATGTCTCAGAGATTTAGTGTATAAATTAATTCCTGTTATCATCTACTGTAGAATTGAGAACACAGCACAAGCAAAAGTTAGCAGCACAATGAATCATGCTGTATTTTTAAAATCTTACAATGCCAGTTATGGTTCCAAAAACAGTCACAAAACTGGGGCCATGGGAACTTTAGGCAAGTGACAATGACACTGTGATCTAAAAATCTCTTTCAGGAGGATTGTGATTACTTGAAATGACAGCTGAGGATATTCTTCAGTAACACTGAACACAGAATTAAACCCCAAATGCAGCTGCAATGATGGCTCACTTCAGTGAACAATCTCTGCAGTTCTGTCTCCAGCTCAGTTTAAAAGTCACTTTAAACAAGAAATTCTCAGGGGGGCTGGCAAGTTTTCTGCATCCTGACTCATCTCCCTTTCCCATCAACTGAAATCATAGAGTATTTTCAGATCCACTTTTTTGAATTTCTTTTCTTCTGTTTTCTTTGAGCAGCCATTGCTGCACAGAATGGGACAGACAGGGAAGAGAAGCTTTGGCTCTGGTGACAATGGTGTGACAGATGACAACCCTGTTCTCCAGAATCCACTGACCAACACAAAGAGCAGCACAGCACAACAATGATCTACACCACCTTTGTTGATGCTCTTGTGTCCTCAGTAGGGCCTCTTTAATTTAATTTTAATAAATTATCTAAAAATGGAGTTCTCAGTACTAACTTCAGATGATTAAGTCAGTTTCTCCACCTTACTGGCAAAAGGCCTTTCCACAAATTCCAAGAAGAGTCCTCATCTGACTTCTCCCAGTTGTAAACCTTTCCACTTATGCTAAATATTCCCAGCACATCTATAAATATTTGCAGATTTGTGTTCTGACATCTCCATGTGTCAAACCATACATATTTAACATCTGGATCCCAAAAATCAATTCTCTTAATCTGCAAGCTGCTTTCTGCTGCTCTTTCATGAACCCACTGCAATGTTACACCATTAGCACAAGTTAA